TGTGCTATTTTGAACGTTCTCATCACAGTGGGTCGTTACGTTACGCGTCAACCCTCTTACAGGGGTTGCTAATTTAAACATATTATCTATATAACATTTTTGAGTATGTTTACAGCTGTACATTTTATTGTGTCGTACACAGAATTTTTTCCCAATAATATACTCCGGTGGTACAGTATTAACACTTAAAACCGCGTTAAAGGGTTGTTTTCTAAAAAAGTTTTATTATTCGATAAAATGGTGATAATATGTTTGCTTGGGTACCACATCACCGTTCTGGTGGTCATTGTGTACCTTCTTTGTGCGATTGGCGTGCGGATTATTCGCAAATTGGATTTGATTGGGCGAGATTGGGCCAGATTGTATTTGATTGGGCGAGATTGGGCGAGACTGTGAACATCCTTTAAACGCAATTTTGAGCCACGTCTGGTCAGGATCTTTGCCGCAGAATAAAAAACAGTTGTGTTATGTGCTATTTTGAACGTTCTCATCAAAGTGGGTCGTTACGTTACGCGTCAACCCTCTTACAGGGGTTGCTAATTTAAACATATTATCTATATAACATTTTTGAGTATGTTTACAGCTGTACATTTTATTGTGTCGTACACAGAATTTTTTCCCAATAATATACTCCGGTGGTACAGTATTAACACTTAAAACCGCGTTAAAGGGTTGTTTTCTAAAAAAGTTTTATTATTCGATAAAATGGTGAAAATATGTTTGCTTGGGTACCACATCACCGTTCTGGTGGTCATTGTGTACCTTCTTTGTGCGATTGGCGTGCGGATTATTCGCAAATTGGATTTGATTGGGCGAGATTGGTCCGGATTGTATTTGATTGGGCGAGATTGGGCGACACTGTGAACATCGTTTAAACGCAATTTGGAGCCACGTCTGGTCAGGATCTTTGCCGCAGAATAAAAAACAGTTGTGTTATGTGTTCCTTTAAGCGTTCTCATCAAAGTGGGTCGTTACATTACGCGTCAATCCTCTTACAGGGGTTGCTAATTTAAACATATTATCTATATAACATTTTTGAGTATGTTTACAGCTGTACATTTTATTGTGTCGTACACAGAATTTTTTCCCAATAATATACTCCCGTGGTACAGTATTAACACTTAAAACCGCGTTAAAGGGTTGCTTTCTAAAAAAGTTTTATTATTCGTTAAAATGGTGATAATATATTTGCTTGGGTACCACATCACCGTTCTGGTGGTCATTGTGTACCTTCTTTGAGCAATTGGCGTGCGGATTATTCGCAAATTGGATTTGATTGGGCGAGATTGGTCCAGATTGTATTTGATTGGGCGAGATTGGGCGCACTGTGAACATCGTTTAAACGCAATTTCGAACCACCTCTGGTCAGGATCTTTGCCGCAGAATAAAAAACAGTTGTGTTATGTGTTCCTTTAAGCGTTCTCATCAAAGTGGGTCGTTACGTTACGCGTCAACCCTCTTACAGGGGTTGCTAATTTAAACATATTATCTATATAACATTTTTGAGTATGTTTACAGCTGTACATTTTATTGTGTCGTACACAGAATTTTTTCCCAATAATATATTCCGGTGGTACAGTATTAACACTTAAAACCGCGTTAAAGGGTTGTTTTCTAAAAAAGTTTTATTATTCGATAAAATGGTGATAATATGTTTGCTTGGGTACCACATCACCGTTCTGGTGGTCATTGTGTACCTTCTTTGTGCGATTGGCGTGCGGATTATTCGCAAATTGGATTTGATTGCGCGAGATTGGTCCAGATTGTATTTGATTGGGCGAGATTGGGCGACACTGTGAACATCGTTTAAACGCAATTTGGAGCCACGTCTGGTCAGGATCTTTGCCGCAGAATAAAAAACAGTTGTGTTATGTGTTCCTTTAAGCGTTCTCATCAAAGTGGGTCGTTACGTTACGCGTCAACCCTCTTACAGGGGTTGCTAATTTAAACATATTATCTATATAACATTTTTGAGTATGTTTACAGCTGTACATTTTATTGTGTCGTACACAGAATTTTTTCCCAATAATATACTCCGGTGGTACAGTATTAACACTTAAAACCGCGTTAAAGGGTTGTTTTCTAAAAAAGTTTTATTATTCGATAAAATGGTGATAATATGTTTGCTTGGGTACCACATCACCGTTCTGGTGGTCATTGTGTACCTTCTTTGTGCGATTGGCGTGCGGATTATTCGCAAATTGGATTTGATTGGGCGAGATTGGGCCAGATTGTATTTGATTGGGCGAGATTGGGCGAGACTGTGAACATCCTTTAAACGCAATTTTGGGCCACCTCTGGTTAGGATCTTTGCCGCAGAATAAAAAACAGTTGTGTTATGTGCTCCCTTAAGCGTTCTCATTAAAGTGGGTCGTTACGTTCAGCGTCAAGCTCTGACAGGAGTTGGTAATTTAAACAAAATATCTATATAACGTTTTTGAGTATGTTTACAGTTGTACATTTTATTTTGTCGAACACAGAATTTTTTCCCAATAATATACTCCGATTGTGCAGTATTAACCCTTAAAACCGCGTTAAAGTGTTGTTTTCTAAAAAAGTTTTATTGTTCGTTAAGATGGTGATAATATGTTTGCTTGGGTACCACATTACCGTTCTGGTGGTCATTGTGTACCTTCTTTGTGCGATTGGCGTGCAGATTATTCGCAAATTGGATTTGATTGGGCGAGATTGGTCCAGATTGTATTTGATTGGGCGAGATTGGGCGACACAGTGAACATCGTTTAAACGCAATTTTGAGCCACCTCTGGTCAGGATCTTTGCCGCAGAATAAAAAACAGTTGTGTTATGTGCTCCTTTAAGCGTTCTCGTCAAAGTGGGTCGTTACGTTACGCGTCAACCCTCTAACAGGGGTTGGAAATTTAAACAAAATATCTATATAACATTTTTGAGTATGTTTACAGCTGTACAGTTTATTGTGTCGTACACAGAATTTTTTCCCAATAATATACTCCGGTGGTACAGTATTAACACTTAAAACCGCGTTAAAGGGTTGTTTTCTAAAAAAGTTTTATTATTCGTTAAAATGGTGATAATATATTTGCTTGGGTACCACATCACCGTTCTGGTGGTCATTGTGTACCTTCTTTGTGCGATTGGCGTGCGGATTATTCGCAAATTGGATTTGATTGGGCGAGATTGGTCCAGATTGTATTTGATTGGGCGAGATTGGGCGACACTGTGAACATCGTTTAAACGCAATTTTGAGCCACGTCTGGTCAGGATCTTTGCCGCAGAATAAAAAACAGTTGTGTTATGTGCTCCTTTACGCGTTCTCATCAAAGTGGGTCGTTACGTTCGGCGTCAACCCTCTTACAGGGGTTGCTAATTTAAACAAAATATCTATATAACTTTTTTGAGCATGTTAATAGTTATACATTTTATTGTGTCGAACACAAAATTTTTTCCCAAAAATATACTCCGATTGTACAGTATTAACACTTAAAACCGCGTAAAAGGGTTGTTTTGTAAAAAAGTTTTATTGTTCGTTAATATGGTGATAATATGTTTGCTTGGGTACCACATCACCGTTCCGGTGGTCTTTCTTTACCTTCTTTGTGCAATTGGCGTGCGGATTATTCGCAAATTGGATTTGATTGGGCGAGATTGGGCCAGATTGTATTTGATTGGGCGAGATTGGGCGACACTGTGAACGTCGTTTAAACGCAATATTCAGGCACATATGGTCAGTACCATAGCCGTAAGATGCAAAATGGTTGCGTTTGTGTTACGCGTTCTCAAAAACTTGGGTCGTTACGTTCTCCGTTAATCCTCATACAGGGGTTGCAAATATGTACAAAATTTCTGTGTAACTTTTTTGAGTATATATTTGAGTGATGTATTAGAGATATATATTCTTACGATCGACACAGAAGGTTTCTCGAGCCTTGCACTCAGGTAATAAAATTTTAACAAAGGGATGCTTTCGTCAAAAAATTTTATTTTTCGTTATAATCGTATTAATATAATTTTTATTTCTGTAGTAATTAATAGTATATTAAAGAACGAGTTTCATAAGGCAAATATTTCCATCCTTTATATAACTCGCGGCTTCGCCGCTCGTTCTATAAACTTGGATTCGTGCCTCAATGGCCTTATGAACGAGTTATTTATACTATTTTTTCTACCGCACACGTTTTTTCCCAAAATTTAATTAAAATTTGCACTAACCACGAAATATTTGAGGTTCGAATTTTCACAACAACAATTGTAATTCGAATCAATTCGAGTTTTCGTAATTTAAAATTGGTTAAAATGTCTTGCGAAGAAGTTACGCGTCCGGAAACGTGGGAAATTTGAAGTTTAGATTTGCCACTGACATTCACCTGACATTTCTCGTCATTGCTACCAATCTTACCGATCTAAATTACACCAGATCTATTAAAGAACGCCTTTCTGCTATTAACGAACTGCTGTGACGTCATTTGCGTGCGTTAATAGCTCTATTAGAAAACCAAAAAACGTGGGCGGTAGAAAATATCTCAATATTTGCCTTATGAAACTCGTTCTTTAATATACTATTAGGGGCTTTTGTTGTAAATGTTAACTATGTAGATATAACAATAATATTACAATAATTGCTGCAAACGCATGAATCTCTCTCAAAGCCATTTTGGGAATGTAAAAAAATGTTACCAACTTAAAAACATCAAAATTGTTTCAATTAGGAGCGCCGTTATTAGTGAGAAAATAAAATGAGTTAAATATAAATTGTTCCATTTACACGTTGTAACACATTCCGAACCTAAATTGTTCTCATTGCATCGCATTTTGCCTTTTCGATGTTTTTATTGGTAATATATAATTATTTCCAACTTTTCACAATCAAATACAATTAAATCCAATCAAAGCCCTTAATTGTGTTTGCCCAATCAAATCCAATATAAGTTCAAATGTGTCCCAATTAACCCAATCAAACCCAATCTGGTCCAATCAAACTTAGATTGGTTTATACTGGGTTTGATTGGGCATTTTTAACAGGGTACTTATTACTTTACCAGGTAAACAATTTATATTTAGTGCCTTCAGTGATATAACTACATATCTATATCAGATCAGTTTATTCAATTCATTTTAATTTTAGAGACAAAGCACTAGTCGTGTCCCCAATTTACAACAGCTTCTATAATTTAATTCGTTACCATCTTGGTACAGTGGCATTTGGGTCACTTATAATAACAATAATTACTATACTGAAATCCATAACTAGAGCACTGGCAACACAAAATCGCTGCATGCGTCTTTTATATTATTACTGTTTAAAACCTCTAGAAGACTTACTAAAATATGTCACTTCAATGGGATATATCGAAACTGGTAAGAAAAATTTCTGTAAAAATATTGTTAAATTCTAAAAATCTACCTATAGCTTTGTTAGATAATAACAATTACAAGTAGGTAAAAACAGCTACAAAAAAACAAGATAATTATTCAAAGAGTTTTCATATTTTCAGCTATTCATGGACAACCTCTTTGTCGATCAAGTTTTCGTGCTATTGATCTGATCATTTCAAACTTCTTAAGTGCCATTGTAATGAATGCAATTGGCAATTTTGTGTTTTTTATGCTTAAACTAGTAGTGGTTGTGGCAACTGTCGTCATCGGTATAGTAATGAACGTAAGTTGTTTTACCTACGTTGAATAGTTACAAATAAACAATTTTTGTAATTTAGTTATCGGTAATTAATATAATATTGGGAGGCCTAGTCGCTTGGTTATGTGTCCATTGCTTTTTTGTGGTTTTCGAGGTAAGCAGAACTGTCTACATACATAAGTCAAATAAAGTGAAATCTATATTATTTATAAAATCAGTAGAATATCACGAGAACGATTTATTGAAACTTTTTGAAATTTGAATTGTCCCTGGGAAATGGGAATACTCAAGTTCTAAATTCTGCATTTTTTTCAAATTTTGTACTTCATTTTTTTGTTTTTGAGGTACAGAGCTAGCTTGATTTTTTTTAAATAGCACTAGTAGTCAAATGTTCCGTTTTTAAATAGTATTTTTTTTCTGAATTCAGAAATGTAACGCATGTATACATGTGTCCAATCATTAAAAAAATTATAGGACTGAGGGTACATAAACTGAAATAAAGGTGCCAGCGTAACAGATTGATTTAAATGGTGTTTCCAAATAGTTTAGAAAATATTCTAGAAATAACAATACTCCGATGTAAATAGTGAATACATTGTTATGAAACCTTTTTGAAAAATTTAAATAAAAAATTACGTTGTTGAAAAAACATTAAATTAACATTTAAGAAACAATAATTTTATAACAAAATGTGCTAAATGTTCTCCATTTAAGTACTTCTATGCAATGGTAAATACGTTGCACAAAATTTCCAAATGAATCTGTTAGAATATTAGGAGGAGTATCAGCAATCACATTTAATATTCTTTCTTGGAGTTCTTCGATCCTTTGTGGTTTATTAACATAAAATATATAATTTTAAATATTCTTGAGAAAAAAAAAAAAAGAAAAAAAACGTATTTTTTTTCTTCTGCACGAAAAATCGAAGAGAAAAAATTGTCTAAACCCACGCACATAAGGAATAGAGTGCATAAAAATAAAATATTTACAAAACATGTAAAAAGTCAAAAAAATCGTGATAAAACAAAAATAAGGCAAAATTACCGATCAAAATAGCCTTCACAAAAGATAAAAAAATGTTAAGAAAACAAAACTCAGTTTAAAATTACATAATGCAAAGATCTAAGCTTTAGGTTTCTTCTGCTACAGTTTAGCGAATCCCCTCATCTTCATTTACGAACCCATTGCAACAAAAAACACATGAAATTTGTGTGTACACAAAGAAAACTATCATAGAAGTTAACATCAACTTTGTAGATACTAATTTTTAATAACTGTGCAATTCAACACTACACAGGTTTAATAAGTAGATAAGATTAAAAAAATACTATTCAGAAAAAGTTTTGAAATCACAATATAAATTGTAAGCAAAATTTTACATTTACATCATGCTATTCTGGGTGAAGGTGAACAGAAAAAAATCTATATGTATAACAGATTAAAAATACACAAAAAAAAGTTTCGGAGAAACTGCAATAAACTCAAACATTGAAAATTGTTTTCTACCTCTTGTAGTTGTAGTTAAGTATGTCCTAAATACAAAAATGTTTTCAAGACAATTCTGAAATTTAAAAAACCATAACGATAATAATTGCAATCAATAATATTATTATTTGCTGTGATGCGTAAAATGTAAAGACGGTCTGTAATGCTAATGAGATATAAATCAAAATTGGATTTAATTTTTAAATAGGTAATTAACATTGATAAAATCTATTAGATATTCAAATTATTTCAGCCGAAAATGCCAGTTTTAAAGAATAAATATCTAACGAAATATTAAGGTTTGAATTTTTGTTGAAACAAACATATTTATCATGTCGTTAAGTATTGTTATATTAATTTAGAATAAAAGAACTGAAGAAATGAGGTACAATACATTGAATAATAACAGACCGATACATAAAGCCTTTTAGCAACACTTACCCTTTATATCCTGATTTCCTTTCCTTCCGCGCCGATCCTTGTAGACTCATAGGCCTATCACAACACTCACCTTTCACTTTAAGCCCGAAACTAGATTATTTTTAACAAAAATAAACCCTTATACAAATTAATTTACGCCTCCGCAATGCCTTCAATAAAGAACCTAATACGAAAAATGAACAAAAAATTCTCGCCGATACCAGATATTTTTTGCCAAGTTTTTATTCATCGACCCATCGCACAGTAAATGAATCTTAATTAAAATACTGTAACATTATTCATTAGCAGAACATAATTGTCTGGATACAAACGCCAGACAGACAGACAGACAGGCAGAGAGACAGACAGACGGAAATGGGATTACTTTTTTCGTACTATAGGGGTCATAAAACGTCAAGAAAAATAAAAGTGGTCATTCGTGCAATGGACTCGATTACTATACTTCCTTAGCTTACGCTCAAATCAAGTTAGCATTGCATCTAGAAAACAAATGAAGTTTAAAATTACAGAAAATAGAGCTTGAGTGTTTTTAAGTATAGCCCAAATTTCAAGAAGATCCAAATAACCGTTTTCGCGATATTTAACTGCTTCCATACTAGAAACTCTGTATATTTTTATCTATTTCAGATTGCTGTTGATACCATTTTTCTTTGTTATTGTGAAGATCAGTGCATAAATGACGGAACTGAGAACAATGCATATTATGCAACATTGGAACTTCACAATCAAATTAGGAAAGCACAATCATTTACTTTGGCAAAAGAAAAGTAAGTTTCTTCTACAAATAAGAGATAGATAGTTTTCTGATTTTTATACATTAAATTTTAGGAAGTCCAACTAGTAACATAATATACTTACCCGTTTAAGTACCTCCATCAAATTTAATATGCCTTAATTAAATGAAACTCAGTTATTCTGTTCTTAATAAACTCATGTAAACATTTTTTTCGTTTTTATTCACTCTCCAGAAAATTCGTGTGTATAAATAAATGTACAGTGTAAATTTAAATTATTCTCAGGTAGCCGGCAATTTACAGATTATAGTAAATTACTAATAAATTGTTGAAGAACTCGGAAGAACCTTGTTTTATATACAGAGCTGAAACTTGAAAGACAATTATATTCAGTCGTTCAGGTAGTGGGGCTTGTCTTTTGATTTTCGAACTAAAGCAATAGAGCTTACTGGGCGCTCTAATGGTTCAACAGTTTGAAGGGTCAGACACTGGCACGCATAGTTTTCGGAAGAGAGCTTTGCACAAAAATAGGATAGCAAGTGATAGAATAAATATAATCTTTAGGGTAATTCACTAGAATTCCACGCTGGGGGTTTTGTATGGCTGTATAATTCCTAGAAGAAGGAAAGGTCGTCCGAAGTTGTCACCGGATTGGGAAAGTTCATATACCGTCATGAAAAAGATCAACTATGTCGTTTACAGGATTCGACGAGGGCGGAAGACGAAAACTCAGTTTAAGAAACAAAGGGGGGGGGGGGGGGGGGATTGGTAGTGTTACGAGATAAACCCGATGACTTATCAAGGAGCCGATGCTTCTGGAATTTTCAGGAAAAACGACCTCGAAGCGGCCCATGCATATTGCCGCGATGAGTCATAATCGTGCCGCAGTTTCTAGCGAGCTCCAGAACGACCTCAAAGCTTCTCTCCCAGACTTTTCGTTCTTCTTAGTCATGAACTCCTTTACGAAAGTTCACAAAACTCTTTCTAACACTGATGTGGTCAAACCGGAAAACCTCTTTGTGTTAATGTTACGCTAAGTACAACTGAGTTACCATCAACTCAACCTTGATTTTGTAGTTTACCACTCTAACAGGATTTAAGATTTTTTTTATTTTCACGTAAATGTCGGTAGTAGTTTGTTCAACGTCATCTTTCTATGAAAATTATTTGGAATAAATTGGTAATTAACAAAAACTCTGGGTGCCTGTTAAATATTTATTCATTAGGTGCACACACAGATGCATACAAAGAGACAACTATTACTAACGACAAGACCAGCTTGACATCAATAAATAGCATCTACAAAACAAAGGCACACAAAAGTGTTAGGTAAAGAGAGTTACACTTAAATACAATAAATTAAAATTGGTTGATACTTAATGTCAAAGAAATGTTATGAGCTAATTACACAGGAAATTTTGTGCATAGCACATACCTTACAAGTTTGTTATTTAACTCTTATCCGTACGAGTTCGTACAAAACTAAATTAACAGAGAAAACGAAGTCAGATAAGAGTTAAGTCAATACTTGGTCATGATAAATTGTTAAACGAAAAGTATGCGTAGATATATATCTTGATGGATTAATCAGATCAGTGTATTGAAATTAAAATATCTAAAAATCACACAGTTAAACATTTTATAACACTGAAAACAATGCAACTATTGCACATTCACTACACTCTAGATTCTGTATTTGTAGAACTACACTGTTTTTTATCATATAGTAAAAGAAAAGATACTTTATTAACTTCACAGAGTACTTACACCTGGAGAAATATTTATATTCAATAAAATTATTAAAATGCAAATTTGGTTCATTAATATTATTTTAAATCAGTCTTATACGTTTACATTCTGAAAACCCTAAAACTTTCAACAATTTCATTAAATATAAATATAAGAAACAAATATGTACACGAACGTTAAGCAAATTGGAAATAAGAGGAATTTTTAACACACCATTAAACATTGGTTATAGTACAAAAGAGTATTATCATGAATTAATCTCATAGAAATGCTCCTGACATGGCCAAAATAGCATAAATAAAAATCAATTGATTTTGCCTTGTCATGATCATATGAACACATACAACAATCCAGAAACTAAATTCTATGTGGAGGTATCTTTGGTGCCTCAATCAACACTTATCTGCGCATGCACAGTTTTTTGGCTTTATGAAGTGAAAAGCCTCATACGCGATTACATTAAAATAAGTTAAATTCAGCAGGTAACTTGTCAATGTAATATTAATACATTTTTTGACGGATATAGATATTTGACTGGTGAAGGTTATCCATCATTTAAATGTCAGGTTGATAATAACTATGTGACGAGTGATACCCTACAGTTTACAAGAGTCCAACTACTTATGAACGACAAGATAATATGTAGAAAGACAACCATCAGTGTCAACCTTTTTGTATGCAGGATCGGCCAAAACATACATGGGTTTATAAAATTGTGTGTCAGTGCTGAAAATTTCCATAACAAAGGCACGCACTGGCTATGTAGAGAAGTTGTTCATAAATTGGATATTTTTTTTATAATTTGTTTAGAAAAATAAATCAAACATAGGAGATTCTGGTAGAAAAATTTGAGTTATATGCTGTGTCGTAACACGCCGATATGTTTGTAATACAGATGTGTCATAAATATTAAGCTTTCTAATACTGTATTTTCTCACAAATTATGTTCAAACATTTCTCCATGACACTATGTTACACAAATTTATAGTTGCTTTAGAATTTGGCAAATACGCTTTGTTTATTAATTAATAACATGACCTCACTTCAAGATTTGTTATGATTTTATTTATATTTAGTTATAGTTTATTTGAAAATTTGTAAATAACTCGTTGAAATGTCAAGCAGAAAATACTATTCCATACTATAATTTGTTACCCAATATGTTTCAAAAATTAGATTTATATGACACCAAGTAATCATAAAAATGAATTAGCATTATTAAAATACGCTGAAAAAGAGTTTTGTCAACAATATTTTTTCTTAAATACGGCCATTTGCAGATGTATTTTGTATCGAAATTTTTGATATTTCCAGTGCTATGCAAATAACTAGGACTGATCAGAAAATACCTAAACAAAATAATACAAAAATAAGATTCATCCGATTATCAATTTATCTAGTTACTACTCGATGCGCAAATGTTTTTTGAACACATGGCGTAGCTGACATCGTACACTGTATCGTACACATCTGTCAGTGTCAAACTCGTTGTGTCAATTCTATCGTTGCTCTCATTTGCAGACTATCTGTCACTATTCAAATTATTATCGTTCTTAGCTCAAATCATTGTTACGAAGATAGCTACGCTATACGTTCAGAATACATTTGAGCATCGAGAAGTAACTAGAGGTGTTTTTTATTTGATCGCTCGTTTCAAAATTACCAGAAAAAATTTCAAGCGTATATGATGTGAAAAGTTGTCATATTTACATTGCTTACAGAGCTTTCATAAATAATACTAACATCGAGGTGAGCACTGATTTGTTCCGTTTCTTTCACAATGTGTAACAAACTATAATGGGAAAAAAACGAAAGTTAAAACGTCACAATTAATTTGACGGATGACACATTCACAGTATGTACATAACAATTAAAACGTGAAAAATGTCTAGCGTTATTAAGAAGTGGCAAATCTGCAACTCTTTTAAATTCCACAGGGTACTAGATGAAAGAAATATTTATAAAAGCACTGTACAAATTAATTCAGTTGTTATTTCTACTCTACTCTTTGCCACGATTACTTGGTTTTTACGAGCAATAATAAACACTTCCCCTAAAAACGACGACCTATTGTAAAACTGTAAAAATGAAAAATATTTCATAACCAAATCTTGTTATTCGTTCTAATAGAACTATCATTTACGCCTTTACAATTTTACAAATGTCGGGGTTGATAGGTTGTAGATGAATGTGTTACCTGGATTTTACCCTATTTATATACAAATATTGTACAGTTTTTTACTTGGTAAGTAAAATTATATTTTATCACGACATTGATAACAGTTTATGTATATAATATGAAAAGTAGGCTGTTTGTGTAAATATCGCGTTTTAAAAAATACATATCTTTTAACAATTAAAACTTAAAGGTGTACAAACAAAATTATTACTTCAAGGAATATTGAAAAGCAACGCATTAAAAGATTCCTCTTAGTTCCATTTTGCTGTTAATAAAAAAATCTAAATTAAATCAACCTGGAAGACTCGAGTATTCAAGAACATCCAATACGTGGTGCATGCATTAATTCTTAAATTACACGAAATAAATAAAGTAAAATCGAAGTATTTTAACCTTAAATAATGGACCCGACCAGCGGATAGCAGACAATAATAACTCTTAAAAAAAAATCCATGAAAAATAGAACTCCACAAAGACGTACAATCCGTAAACACCTGTCTGTTATTTGATTTTTAGTTTTTTTTGTTTGTTTTTGATTAACAACTAGAAATGTTTAAACCAATGAATCAATCGTTTACAACATCTAAATAGATAAAAATAAGACACCATAAAAGGAAAAGATTACATAACCTACACTTTGGCCAAGTTAGACTCTTAAGAATGACGATTAGAATTTGAGCTTAATAAAGAAATTGCTACAATTTATTCGACTAATGACTTAACTTTGGTTTAGGAATTACTTACACCGTCAACAAAAACTACAACATTTCGACGCTTGTCCAAGATGAACAGCACAAATCCCAGTTAGTTCGTTACACACATTGTTCAACTGTACAACCGTTGAAGATTTTCTTTGGGGTTTGTCGTTTTGATTAATATCACCGTCACTATTTCGAATGACACTCACAGCCCTCTGCCGACACCGCAACATCGTTTCGTTATTTATACTGACTTTGTCTCGAGCTAAAGAGCTACACGATTGAGCCTTGTATAACCGATTTCTACTAAACAACCCCGGCAAAGGTATACACAGCTTTTTGTGAACTTGAAAATACTTCCCTAACAATCTCATCTTCTTCAAACCTGATCGGTCGCTAACGATTTTATTGCAACTCTCTACATCATCTTTCGGTTTTTCTCGATCTACTTCTATTCCATCGAACTCGGCACTCTTGACAGTGTCCTTTCGGGATATGTGAGTTACTTTCTCGTCTTGAGATTTCTTCATTGTCATGTTAAATCCTTGAAGAATCCTAGCGCCGATACCGCGTGCTTTAGGGTTGACGACTCCCTGCGTTCCCACAACGCTCGTGGCTATAACTAACGCGTGTGCTCCGTCCTCCTGAACTTCCGTTATCCTGTTCAAGGACTGACTCTCTCTTAATCTCGTTTCGCCGTTCCTTCTCCTGCTGGCTTTATGCCGTCGTCCCAAAGTAATATTGTTTTGGGTGGTATTTTTTCTTCCGCCTGTGCTTCCGCTGTTCGTTGTGCTTCCGTTTTTGTGTGAATGTTGAGTATTGCTCGTGCTATTTTGTACCGTGACAGTTGTCATTCTGTTGTTATTGCCGCCGCTTCCCGCCCCTGTGCCAGGCTCCTGCGAGTCACTGCTATCATCGTGACTGTCCCTGCGCCCCTGGAAGGGTTTAGCGCTCGTGTTGTTCAGTTTATGTGCTCTCTTCTTTCTCTTCTCGCTATCGTCATCGCTAGCATCCGAAGAACTGCAAGAAGCTGTTCGCGCTTTATGAAATTTTGATCGCCTTTGTTCGTACGATGTCCTGTTCTGATTCCTGCTGACAAACTGGCGTGACGTGGGTCTCGGCGTATCTTGACCATCACCTTCCTCGAATATCTCGTTCAACTGCAGAGGCGAGCCGCCTCCGCTTATACTTGTGGTCCTCGTGGGCGACGGCATAGTTTTGTACTTTGGAATCGCCTGACAAGACAAAGGGGAATTCGTGGTTATAATCGGTATGGAAATAGTAGACGAATCGGTGATAATGGTGGTGGTAGTGACGTCAGTTTTGGGGACCATTTCCTCGATGATTTTAACCTGGACCGGTGATTCAGCTAAGCTGGAACTTTTACCCATTCGCCACTTGAGATTCTGATTAGGCTGAGTTATCTTGTTCTCGGGGACTTTTCTGTCATTTTTAATGGTTCGCAGTGGTGGAACTTTTGGTACTCCATCTGAGGGTTCTTTCTTTTCGATCGAGGGTTTTCTTCTTTCTGATTCGGCTAGTCTTTCTTGTAATGCGAGATTCAGGCGCCCTTCTGACCGAGAACCTCTTCGATTGAGTGGAGGTGCTAGTTCTTCTCGACCTGAACAACTTGAGATGTCTTCTTCCTCTTCATCTTCTTGGACTATGCTGCATTTACGAGACCGCTGCAATATAAGGAATATTAAACATGTATGAGATATTTATTCGGATTTGTTTTTAAATAGAGATTTTATATACTGGATCACAAAAAAACTATTTTTGAATTGACTTTTTAGAAACACTTTTCTAATCGATTGTTGTTTGTGTCTAAAGGGCAATACAAAATCGTGAAGATAATCCTTTAGTAAGTATTCTTGAAAAATATTACTCCTATAAAATATAGCAAAATCTTAACAGGCTAATATTCCTACAAGGCATGTTGAGGCAATTTACTATTAATATTATATCTAAAGGGACGTTTCTATTTTAGGTTTATTACGAAAATTTGTAGATAAAGTTCGTTAATTAAATTTTAAGCGTTATTCTCCTGAAACTATAAATATACGTATCGGTTAAATTAGTGCCCAATGTTTATTAATACAGCAGTATAAAAGCTATGCAGTCTACGAGGTAAGCGCCAAATATTCTCGGCCTAACAAAGAAAGAGACCTGATGGAAAAAAATTAAATATTTATATTTCAACATAATCTCTGTTAACTTCAATACATTCAAAACTACGTCCAACTAACAGCTCTATGCGTTTAAAAAAATTATTTGAATCTTTATCACTAAAATGATGTAGTACTGCCGTTTGCACCTCTTTATCCGTCCAAAACGTTTTCCTTGCAAGTCGTTTTTTAACTTAGAGAACAGTTAATAATCGTTCGAAGCTAAGTCAGTACTGTAGGGTGGGTGATCAAGTTACTCGAAGTCACAGGCCCCTTTAGCAGCTTGAGAAAGACATGCGGTATGAACGGGCGCATTTTCATGAAGCAATCGAACGCCTCTTGTTAATTTTCTCGGCCTTTTTTCCCAAATACGTTCTCCTAATTTATGCAGTAAGTAAGCATAATATGTAGCGTTGACAGTGGTATTTCATCCTTTAAAATTAATCAACAACATTCCTTTACAGTCCCAAAAAATTGTGGCCATGATTTTTTTGGAAGATTGGTTCGTCTTCAAGGGTTTCTTACCCCTTGCGAAATAACTGTGATCATTTTTTTTAGTAAAATGTGAAGGACAAGCTTCAGCAAACACAAAAACCATCCTGTCCTTAATACCCTTTAGAGCAATTCCATCTTTTGATAAGAATTTGATTGCCGTTCGATTTTCAATTTTAAACAGGCATGATGAGTCCATAATTTTTCAAATATTACTCCTCAAATGTATCAAAACTAATGGGCAGTGGGGCTTGAAATTTTACACACATACTGCGGGGACCCTCTAGTCTTTTATGAGTTGTACAAATTTCCCGACGAGCAATCGCAAATATATCAGGCCGAGAATATTTGGCGCTTACCTCGTAAAGTTGGGACGGCCGCGAAACTATGCATACGACATGGTAAAAAAATTTTAGATACTCATCAGAACCAAATAACTAAAACTGCTCCCTTTACTTTGACCTCAAACCATTTTAAACTGCTTAGCTCCAAAACTTCCGAATCCTGTGAATAATTGGCAAACATTCATTGTTTCTTATGGACTTGGAAAATCAACGATGTAAAGTGTAGTTTTTTTGACAAATGGTATGTATATTTAACAATATCTCAACATTCTACAGATACGTGCGCATAAAAAACATCAACAGTAAAATTTGATAAAACGCTTTAGTAGGTTCATTTACCTTTTATTGGGTAGTTCCAGAAACGATAAATATTCAGTCGGATCAGCTATGCGTCATGGATTTTCATTTTTAATTGGAAAACCTAGTTTTATAACACGTTCTAAGACAAATCTGTTTGCCGTTAACTTTTTTAGTCAAAAATAGTATTAAAAAACAAGTTTCATAAGATATTATTTTAGAGCACGAATACCAAAATTAGAAAACGAGTCGTTAGACGAGTTTTCGAAGGAATCGGTGCGCTAAAATATACGATGAAACGTATATTTTATAGTATTGTTTCTGCTTCGTACTTTTTTCCATAAAAAAAATGGAATTTTTAAAATTTTGGGGAATTTTGACGTGGTTGGTACGACAAATGTCAGTCTGTAATTGTTGAAGTTTAAATTTTCACAATAATAAATTCTTATTAACAAATGACGAAATACCGGAAACTGTCCAAAGTAGCACCCATAATAAACGTCGTTCTGCGCACGAAAAACAATTTTTGGTATTTTGACGTTTATTTTATTTGTTATTTGGCAGTGACATTTGTAATGACTACCAATTTTGGAAACATAAATTACACCAGTTCTATTACGAAACCCAATTAGGCATTCAGCCTTAACAGTTCGGTCATAGACGCGAAGTAGAAGAGTCCTTTAAGCGTGTTTGATTATGCCTTTAAGTCAAAAAGAGCGCAAAAAAATGGTAATGACGACACAAGTCTGCAATAAATACAGTAACATGTAGAACGATCTTCTGACTCGTTGAATCGACTGATGAAAACGTTAGCGTTCTCCCAACTCTGAAAAATTTCACGACTACAAAAAAATTGTAGATACTGGAATTTTTCGAAAACTCGACTCTGTTTTGTTAATTTTACATAACTTTTTTTTATACATTAATTTTGGCTTTTTAATTTCTTCGTAAGATTAACCTGCGCGAAAAAAACATTTTTGTGATATTTCTCTCAACTAGCATGTACGATGTATGATTTTAGCAAATGACGTATCTTGTAAGAAATGTAAGTAAATTACTATAAGAAAAGACACTAGAGGGTCCAAAGCCCTTTCAAATTCTTTCCAAACAGGAATATCTAGAATCTCAAGATTGCTTTAAATTAAAAAAAAAACTGGGTTCCAAAATTAAGTCTAAAACAGGTTAGGTCAGAATTTTCCAAAAATAGAACACCAAAGTCCCCCAAAATTGTTTTAAATAATTTACAAAAAAAATTTCCATGGGCTCCCAAAATAATGACAATGGGTACCCAAACACTGGGGCACTCAAGATTTTTTCAGATTCGTAAAAAGTAAAACACTAAAAGCTCAAAAGATTTTTTCAAGTTCACTCAGCAACAAAACACCAGATTCCTTTAAATGTATCCGAAAATAAAACACTAGGGGGACCTAAAATTAATTGCAAATATTTTAAACGTAGGGTTTTGAAAACTTTTTACAATTTTTGATACGTCAAACATTTTTAACTGTTTACTCGTTTTTTATCAAATTATTACAAAAACAACACAACCATATCTTTGTACATTGTAACTGAAATGGCAATTAAACAGGGTCATGGGCGAGAGAAATATTAACTAAAAGTTTTATTATTATATAGTTATTATAACCAATTTTAAAATCATTATGACTCCACCAAAATGTGAGAAGGAATTTTTTACTATTCTTCCCACTCACCAGTTGATTGTTAAGAGCGTAGAGGAGAGTTAATTCACCATTTTTCAGACACCCGGTATAATAAAAAACTTGGATTAACAAAGATGATCAATTAAAAAGAAATATCCATGACATTATAACCCTGACGTTATCGAAAAATTCAAAGTGCACAGGTAAAGATAATATACCTAGAATAAGAAGTTATTCAATTTTTTGTTTGTTTGGAATACAAATAAACTGCAGAACTTTATAAATAATGGGTAACAACAAGACACCGCTTTATTCCATTTGTCTACCCCAAACTTAAGAAACGCACTTTACTCTTCGACCAAGAAGCTGTTGAGAAATTATACAGTGGCGGCCAAAAATGATGACATTCCATTGTCACAAAGTGTAAGCCTCCTTTACATATTGTAAGTTTGTTTTTTGAGTTTTGTCATTTTTGACATTGCGGGCAGGTTGATACTGGACGCAACGTGATAAATCTTTTGAATTTCAAACATCAAAGTGACAATAAGGCAAAAATGATTGAAACAAGTGAAGCAAGAAAACGGTGAATTTCGCGAACAATTTCCCTAACCCCAAAAACACATATTTTTTTAAATCAATTCCATGGCTAACTAGAGGATTTTTTATTGATCCTATATGCAGTTACTACTGTGTGATTTTTTGATTTGTGATCTAGTTTTCGCCGCACAATATAATACGTAGGTCGTTTCTTAGAATATACAACTTATGTTGTGGTAGAGTGCATATAATCTTGCATCTTACGTAAATTGTAAAATACTGTTGTTTATTCATTTTCAAATTTTCGGCAAAAATCTTCTTCTTTTTTAACTGCCCATTCACAATGGACATAAGGCATAACAAGTACATAAAGCTTACATAAATACATAAAGTTGAAACGATGGAAAACGTGTACCCCTGTTCACAGTGGACGAACGTAATTCTTATGCTTATGAACGTTTTATGTAATCCTTGTGTGTGTTCAACTTTGTGCACGAATTATGTCAAAATTATGTTAAAATCTAGGGACTTTTGAATGCTGCTGTTGAATTCCCTTTGACAGTTGGCACTTGGCACTTCGCACCTTTGATTATATTATCTAAATTATAATCAAAGCTTCACACTGCGAGTCTGTTCTGTACTGCGAGTTGTCAAGTTCGAATATCGTATGAAATTGTAGGTTAGATATTTTGATTGACTCAGTTTGAGGTTAGCCGTTTCTATGTTTAGCCGGGAGTTATTCCGTTCTGCGTTTGCGCAGTTTAACAATTCTTACAGAGTTCACTCTGTCCACTGTGAACGTAGATAAGCATAAGCCAGACACAAACCAAAAACGTAAATTATGTTATGCGCTCGTTCTTATGTCTTATGTCCATTATGAATGGGCAGTAAGGCTACATCGTTTTTAGAGAATGAATCTAAACTATCCACAGAACGAAAATTTTCATTTCGAGAAAAATGTTTTCCGAAGATCATAAGTAATTAATGTTTTGAGTCTTACTTCGTTAACGGCCAGCCGGTGGATGGTGAATGGATGGATGCATGACGCCCTACTTTATTTTCAGGAATTTCGTGAAAAATTCCCCGATGTTGCTGTTCTTTAAGCTTATTTTGTAAAGATAGTTATCTAAGAAAATTATTTTGTGAGACTGGTAGCATTAAGAGGAAATCAGGAAGTCACACATTAACAAAACAAAACTCCCGAGGCTGTTGAAAATGTCTGGTAAGTTATGGATGCCAACTCCCATACAGTTTAAGACCTAATGTTGTTCCCCTACAAAATACATGTACATATTTCAACGACTTAGACTACCTAATTATGAACAGAATGATTTATTGTATAACATAATATTTTAAGAGATGAAGTCTGGTTTCATCTATCACTATCAGGATATGTAAACTCCTAAAATATGGGGATGTAGAGAGCAGAAAATCCAGCAATAACTGTATGTTCAATTAAATATGTTACTTGTCTCAAATAAATCTCTTTAAATTTAACGAGAGTTTAAATTTTGTTGACATAACGTAATCTTACTTTCTAAGTAAAGCCACAGACAACCCATATTCAGGTTATGTTGTGAAATTGTGAAGTCATCAGAGTAATGTACGTTTTAAGAACAAAGTGAATTATTAACTAATTATTATTATTAATTCATTAAAATTTTATAGTTTTTTAAAATGAAAGACTGTGTTTAGGCACGACATACTTTTGGGCCGAATTTGTTATATCAACAAATACTTGGGTAACTAGATCGCAAATCAAAGAAATCATCCGCTATGAATCACTTTTTTCTGCGGTCATTTTGATTTTACACTGAAAGCACCACGGAATAATATGTATATGTTATTATATTATTGTGCACCAGTTTTTATCAAATCTCGCTCCTGAATATCATATCGAGTTTAATTCATCGATATAAATGTATGTATAGCCGTCAATATAGTCCATTACTTGCCATCTTTATAAATTACTGTTATTTTTATTCCAGTGGTAACTATTTTAACCTTATTTTATTTAGCAATTTTAAATTAAAAACTAAAATATTACTTTACCTGTGGTACATCTCCAGGCGTCCTAGGTACAGTCAAGAGACAAGGCGATGGGCCGGTACCATTATTATCCCTTTTTGGAGCTGGAGAATTATGTGGTACTGCCAAGTGTTCTGGTCTTTTATTTTTTGGGACTTGATCTTGTCGTTTAGATCTCAGTTTTCTTTCCGCCAACAAATAGTACGTTGCAGTGACATGGTTATACTCATTTTTATCCAAACTTCTACAATACAAAACATTATAGGTAATTTCCCTAACTAAACACCTATCACCTTACTCTTGTATTTCTTCTTTGGTGGCAATATTTCCGTTCACTATTTTCTGGACAATAAGATTATGATCTTCTTCGATTAACTGTTCCCTAGAAACTAACGGAAGAGTATCAAGAGGTGGATTGTCTTGTTTGCCAACCATTAACCATTTATGCTTAGATATTTCGGCAAGTGTCGCCCTCTTTTCCGGATTCCGTACTAACATTCGAGCAATTAAGCTACAACAAATTTACTGTAACACGAAAATCCTTTTGACCCAGAATTACACTTACTCTTGACAGTCTTTTGATACATGCGGAGGAACACTATATTTACAGTCCATAATCATAGTGAGAGTTTCGGAATCATTAGCTTCTTGAAACGGTGCTTGCCCACACACTAACATATATAAAATCACACCCAGTGACCAAATATCTGCAAACCGAAACATTAAAACAAAACCTCCACAGTTCGAACATTCTACTGACCAACAGCAGGTGCATCGTACGAATCACCCAACAAAATCTCTGGTGCAGAATATGCTAGACTGCCACATGACGTTTCAAGTTTTTGACCAGGGCAGAATTTATTGCTAAATCCAAAGTCAGTTAATTTAACGACACCCAATTTTTCGAAGAAAACCACATTTTCGGGTTTGAGATCACGATGAACAACATGCAGCTGATGACAGTACGATATAGCTCTAACTATTTGTCTGAAATACTCTTTAGCCAACTGTTCGGATAGGCCCGTGTCATGTCTCATAATGTAGTCGTATAAGTCACCGCCATCTCCTAGTTCTAATATTAAATATAACTTAGTGGCTGTGTCTATTACTTCATACAAACGGACTACGTTAGGGTGTTGTACTAATTTCATGCATCGCACCTAGAAACACAAATCACTTATTATCAGATTCACGAAAGAATACAATGATGTCATCAAATTACTTTCAAGTTGCGACATAACGATCGATACATCCTGAGTCTGCTGGAGAAAGATAACCTCCGAAACGGTCGTTAGATACTTTTTTAATTATCTGCAGTATTGTGTGTCCGATAAAGACAGCGACAAAACAACATTTTTCTGACAGTTATAATCAACTCTGCGTGTAATCGGAAGTGAACTTCGAGTCGACATAAGCAGTTCAGGTTTCAAACTGTTCAGAGCTTTGTCAGTTTTTGCATATTTTTTAGACTGCCCAACTGTTTATTATTCAAAAATCATATCGTGTTTTAACACTATTATTACATGGAGGCATTTCTATGAAGTCATTTTATTTCGGGTCACACTGATTTGAATGCGCAATATAAATAAAACACTAACAATTTTTCTTTTTTACAACTTAAGAATTGTTAATAATTATTAATATCGAGAGAGCAATAAAAAAACACAATCAAAGACAACCAAGGAATTTTGGAAAGTGTGTATATTATCCAAAAACGCCACTATTAACATCCATTTGTAGTTTTTTTTTTGTCCAAACTGATAAATTTCAAAAGAGAAATTCCTAAAATCTTAAACGAAAAAATGGTCTAGTTATGCAGTCAGAAATTGTTTTGTCCCTGAAGCACAAACAAATCCAGTTTTGTAGACAAATTACAATTCATTTAGAATTGAAAATAATAAAAAATGATATCTAGATGTCTATGGCACGAAATTATTTTATAAATAATTCATCTAGTAGAATTTAGAGATAATGTTACTAACTTTCTAGTGGGGATGGAGAAATTTCACTTAAAACTTAAGGGTAACATGTTCAACTGTTTGTAATGGAATGATTTATTCAAGAATTAATAAATAAAGCATAATTCTAGGAAAGTGGTAGTATTGTGGGTAGTGTTAAACTACATTTATTCAAGTTGGTATACTTATTCCAACTAACGTGCTGATGTCATCATCACAAAATTTTATTAAGAAAATTTCTCTTGAAATATGAAACATACCATGCTCACTTATTGTCATTTTATAGTTTATTTCTGACACTACATAGTAGACATAAACATAATAAATCATTAACAATGTTCATTTATTCATCCCTTAAAAATTCATGACCTCATCTTCAAAATCTATTAAAACAATGTTTTAGGTAGGTACAATTTAGACATGCATTTTCGTGTTTAAATGACCATAAAATTTACTTCATATGGGATTACTATTTTATGAAACTAGTAGTATAACTCGTGAAATACCCACATGACGTCATTTCATTCCTTCGTGAATTGTGTAGGATCGAACACGTTCTTTAATATTTTCGTTAAAGCTTTTTTATAGCGTCAAGTAATGAAATACCGACATTTATTCAGCGACTCGTCCCTAATCTACTATCGACCCATATTTATAAGTTTATGACCCGTATAAACGAGTTAACCATAGGTCAATAGCAGTTTAAATTACCAAGCGTGCAAGAAAAGTAACTTCTAAATATCATTAAACACTACGTGAATATGATTTATCAGATATTTTATTACCTCCTGAAAAAGATGCGCTTTTGAGACTTCGTCCAGTTTGCTTTTATCGATAACCTTAACGGCGACTTTTTCGCCTGTGAAAACATGCCTCGCTAATTTGACAACGGCGAAATGACCTCTTCCTAGAGTTTCTTCTAAATCATAAAGTCCGGCGATTTTGCCCTCATAAGGGCCAGATTTTAATGCAGACAACGTATTGGAATCCAAAGGTCCGCTGCCGATGCGAAGGCTCCGGTGCATCTTCACCTGCAACAAGGAAAAAAACATAAACTATGTGTTTTCATAACATTCAAACTTTATCGTGTGTGCAGTTTTAAGTAAGACGACATTAAGTAATTAGCCAAGGTTAAAGGTTATGTAAAAGGATGTTTAGTTTCTCATGCGGGAAATTATTCATGCAGGTATCTACACATGAACTGCATTGTTCTTTGAGTAGAAATACAATTAGTATTATTTACAAGAGTGAGCATTAACGGAATGGCAAAAACTTAAACTTCGTATTACAATACGTTACGGTTCTTCCAATTCATGGAATATAATATTTATTTGGTTTTCTGTCTTTGCAGATTTTTATTCAGAAGTCGAGTTATGGTCGTGATAGGGTTCCAAGCAATAATATCCATGTTTTTACAATATTTTAACTTGAATTAAACATTCTGGGGGATTTATAAACACAGACAGACATTCCAACTTTAATAAATTCGTATTACTTAAATGGATTATTATAATATTATGAAATTATCAAACGCAAGCATGAAGAAACATTTCTAGTTTTCCAAGAACACAACAAGCATTAAATTACTTAATATGTTGCTATTTTTGTCAAGGTTTCTCTAATCTTCTAATCTGTATTTTTTGCAACTGGTTCTTATCACTGCCGGCCAATAGTTAAAAAAGTATTGTAGTAGGGTCATTTTGATAAACGTCTAATTTCATATTTTCTTGACGTTTTATTTATATTTATATTACGTTTTCGTCTGTTTGTCGTCGCCTGTCGGGAGTTTTACTAGACAATATATTAATAATTTTCGTAAACCGATTACTTTGAGATTTTTCAGTCTGTTTTAAGATTATTGTGAGCGTGGTAAAATACACTGACATTTTTTTTGTTCATTCCCTCTAATAAATTAAAGTCTCAAAGTCTGGCTTAATAAATTTCGCGTAATAAATGTGTAGCGCCCAGCATATCTGTTGTTTCACAATCCACCGTATCTTTTATTTTACATAAATGGATCCCTCTCCAAAAAAATCAAGAGCAAATCATCCAATTTTACAGTTTATTTTGCAGATTACAAATTGTTCGCATTTTTGTTACCATACTAACACTGATTTATTGTGATTTATTTCCACCCGAAATTTGATAACGTATTCCACATAAAAAAAAAGTAAAATAGACCGCTTTCCTTTACTGCCTTTTCCAATTGTTTCTTGGCTTCTAGCTCTAAAATCCTTTACCCAATGTATTTCCAAAAGTTATTCGTTTGAATTTCGATATGTTTTTTTTTTAATTTTTGATTTATTTGTCTTGTAACCAGACGGTTTTACATGCTTGATTTTTACTTCGTGAGCGTTAGCTGGCTACTTTCATGTTTTCTCGAGTTTCATGACCTGTAATGAATGAAAAAGGTCCCCCGTTTCGTCTGTCTGTCTGTCTGCCGTCTATGTCAATTTTTATGTATGTTTTAAATACCGTGTAGATGGTAAAACACTAATGAAAATTTGCCAAATCATCTCCAACAATCTGACGACGTCCCCTCAAAATTTTTCACAATAAGCAGGATTTAAATTTTATAAAATAACATACTTCTATATTTGTGGTTTATGAATCCTCCTTGAGGTTTTCCCCAAGGCATCCAAATTTTCGCGAATAGCAACCTTTTATACTAGTGTAAGCGGAGCTTTCATAAGGTTAAGTAAGTGTAACTCTGGAGTGTCCTTATCGTCAACCCATGATAAGAACCGGATTCACAATTACTCTAAAAATATGAAGGCATTGATAAAGGGCAAGTCTGTGCTTGTATGTATTGGTGAGTTTTCCCAATGTTCCAATCAACATTACTTCAGCAAGGACACGTATGTCAATTCCGACACGTGCAGTGTAATATAAATATAACCTTCTACGAAGTCGGCATATACTCGCATAAAAGCTTGCGTTACAATCGGTCGGGTCAACTCCACTTTCAAATTTACGGGGTGGGCGCACCTTCAGAGGCGTCCGTCATCGTCTCTCTATCACAGTGAACTTTTTTACCTGCGTAAGGGTATCTGTTTAGATTAGTGCCTAATAGATTCATAGGCACTCGTGCTAGCGTGTTGACCAGTTCACTTAAGTTTATCTTTCCCTGTTTTATTGACAAAATGCAATGACAAATTAAATTTAAAAAACCACCCCCTTCTGAAGTGTGCATGTTACGCTACTGACTGATAGTCCGTTGTCAGATTCTGATGACTCACTATATTAAACTTAAAATAATCCATCTTTGCTACCGTTTGTTTGTGCTCGCTTTGAGTGCTAAATATTATTGTGCAACATTTAATTGACCCTCCAGATTAGACATCCTGATAGTCGTCGATACAATTGTTGTCTCGTCGCCAAAATTTGTGACCATGATGAAATCAGGAATATAATTTGGGAAGTCATTAACATAGATAAACAATAATAGAGGTCCCAATACGGACCCTGGAATACCGCGTTCCAATTTGACAAGATTTTATGAAATTTAGTGATGTTCCACTAATTCCATATTTGTTTAGTTTTAATATTAAAATATTGTGTTGAACACAATCGAAGACTTTCGAAAGCTCACAAAATATTCCACCAGCTATTTCCCTCCTTTTCAACGCTAGGATTTCTTTTAATATTTTATTTAAAGCATCAGTGGTAGATTTGTTTGGTCTGAACCCCATTGTCCCCCCAAAAAGTAAATATTTTGTTTGAAAAATTGCGTCAATTGATTGCTTATATAGGAACTTTTATTAATTTTAAAGATACTGTTTTTGTCACTTTAAAACAATCCGGGAAAGTTCCTTCATTTGGAACTCATATGCAACAATTCGACAGTTTTGTTAAGGATATAATGAGAGGATCTCCCACATATTTAATTATGTTCATATTTAAACCATAAAGATCTTTGCTGTCTTTACTTTTCATATTTGTTACCATGTCTCTCATTTCGATAAAAGATATCTCATTAAAATGTAAAAGTGCTTTTCCCCTAATTGATACAAAATGTAGAAATAGGTTCCATACAGAATTTTGGTAATATTGTCGGCACTTTCATTGTATTTTTTGATTGTTCATAATATTAACGAGTTCTTGTTCTCTCTCCTCATACATGTATTTAACCATTTCGGTGGTTACTTCGTCATGGTTCGGTGTTTTTCTCTTCATTTTGTGTACTTCTTTTCTCCTCGTTCTTGTTGCTCTTGTGTTGTGTTCTGATCATTTTCTTGTTCCATTGCATCTTTCTCTATTTCATCTTGTTCTAGCAATACTTTGAAATATCTGTCCAACTGCCCCCGTTTTTCGCTTTTATAAGTATGTATAGTTAGCGTATTTACATATTTTTGGTATCATAGTTCCTAGTATAGGAAAAAGTAGAACTTCCCTTCACACCTCTGTCGTCTGCTGGGCAGATCGTCGTGAATTTTCGGTATGTTATAGGATTATCGAGTAGATGATAAAATACTAACATAAATTTGTCATCCCACCAAACATTTACAGACGTCATCTTAAGCTTCTGGCAAGTAAATTTTACGAAAAATGTGCAAAATATGATGTGTCTGTACTTGCAATTTATTAATCTACCCCTATTTTTTATTGTTATGTATGTAGATTTTTGGGAAAAAAACTAAAATTATTATACAACAAAATTGTACAGTTTAATTTAGAAACTATACAACCGATTGCGTTATTGCCTTGAAGTTCTGCACATATGCTTTTAGGTCAAGATAGACTTGGTAAATCACTAATCCGAATTATCTGTTTATCCCTTCCAAAAATCAAATGACGTTATTTCAAAATTTTCCGAAATGTGCATCTATTTATAGTTTAATTTAGTTAATAATGGACTTCTTCAACTCATAACTAAGTCAATGATTAACATCAATTACACTGGTCATTACCAAAATTTTATCTATTTAACTCTTTCAAAAAAATTATTAACAAATGATTTTGCCGTTTTTTTAATTAAATGCGGCCAGTTTTTGTAATTATATACATAAGTGTCCTAAAAAATAAATGTATGCACTAGGGTGATTCAAAAAAAAAAATAATTTTTTTTTTCGTGCAAAGAGGTTCAAAAGTTTCTTTTCAACGTAAAAAAATACCAGTTAAAATTTGAGCTCTTAATATTAATATTAAGACCGTCCGCATCGCGTTTTTCTATTTCCCATAAGAATAACATGGGAAAATTTTTGTTTGCACCTTCTGATTTTTATTGCTAGCTCGTCGTGTGTCGTGAAAAAAATTCAATCACATATTTTTATAGAGAATTGAACGCTCTACAAAAAGTGTCTCCTATGATTGTGCGAGAAACCTGATAGTTGAAGAGTTATTTTAGGCTAAAGTTAAATTTATCGCAAATTTTGACGTTTTTGATGCATTACAATAAATTTGATGGTCTTATTGGAATAAATCACCACAAAAATTTATACATATTTTACATTTAGTTTTTTAAACAGTAATTGTTTATAATTTTATGCTATAATAAGGCCAGTAAAACTCTTTCCGAACATTTTCAGCATCAGTGGGTTAAAAAATCATAGTCAGGTTTCTCGCAAAATCATAGGAGACACTTTTTGTAGAGCGTTCAATTCTCTATAAAAATATGTGATTGAATTTTTTTCACGACACACGACGGGCTAGCAATAAAAATCAGAAGGTGCAAACAAAAATTTTCCCATGTTATTCTTATCGGAAATAGAAAAACGCGATGCGGACGGTCTTAATATTAATATTAAGAGCTCAAATTTTAACTGGTATTTTTTTACGTTGAAAAGAAACTTTTGAACCTCTTTAACACGAAAAAAAAAATATATTTTTTTTTTTAATCACCCTAGTATGCACCAATCTATAGCATCAAACATCTCTTAACCAGCTGTTAATAGTCTTTAACATAAACACATATTTTTAAACGTAATCTTAATATTATGAAGCAAGTAGAAATTAGGTTGATTTAAATTTAATGTTTCATCTATATAATCTTCTCACGCTGGTGCATAAAGAGGACTTTTTGAAAAACCGTAATGACACAAATTCGTTGTTTGCTCTAAAAGCGACAAACAAAAACACTTACATATAATTTCTAAGAAATTATTAAATTCAATAGTTACTTCCAGTTTGGTTGTACAAAAATTTATTCAATAATTTCTCATCTGGACATTTAATCTGAAAACGTGTTCACACACATACAGGTGGGTAGTACCTACCACATCACAACGAAGCAAGTAATATTTGTGATTAATTTTCAGCAATTGTTCATAAACCTGTTTTAAAAACCTGAAAGGAAAGCTTTGGTAGTACAAAAAACTAAACCGTCCTACTTTTCTGCTCAAATTATAATCACTCATTCCAACCTATAATACGAGTATAATAATAAATACTTCTTTTTGCTCTCGCTGTGAAATGTAGAAAGTCCAATAATAATTATTGTACATGTAGATAGCAAAATTTCACAATGAAGAAATCCAACCACGGTGATACGACTAATGTATTGTGTTTGGTTGCTTTGTTTTCCTTACAATTCGTTCCCTTTCTTACTAACAATGCTGTCCTATTATAGGCTTTAACTTCATATTCATAGTCAATAACAAACTAATCTAAAATAATACTGTTCTATTTAGTATTTTCGCGTTCGAGAAACATGTAGTGTACATCTTCGCTGTCGCTCGACCATATTCAAATTATAAATACCACGGATTACGGAAACGGAAAGCTGAACGTCCGATAAGCTCTGCTCAGGAATCCACAAAAGGATATAGACTATGACGTCAGTTGTTCATTCATAATAAAACCGAGCGGTGCAGTATTCAGCAACTTTTACTATTTCTGTCCTGCTGCCGCAGCCAATTCGTCGATGGGCGCTACGTTCATACACGAGACTCGTGTATGCTGGAATGTGATCTATGTCGCATCCATATGTTGATGTTTATAAATACATCTGCGGAAACGGTCGGACGTAAACCCTGCTCAAAAACGTTAAATTGGCAAGCATGGACCGATTTATGACTTTTGAGAAGTTTCAAATTGTTACTTGAAGAGAATGATATTTTCTCACTAGTATCTGTATGGAATAAAAATAGCAGCATTCTTTCAATGTTTAGATTCTTTGAAAGCAAGAGCTTGGAATAATAATGTATGTACTGCTGACTTAAATACACTGTGTGTGTGGCGCAAATTACTCATACAAAAATAAGTATCTCTCTACCACGAAGATACTATGGTGTATATGTTAATATTACACACAGTCAGACCTCCTTTTAGTACCTTTGTAACAGCAATTTTTTTCTCAAAGTTCTTGTTTTAGTTGGTAGAGTGGCAGTAATTTACATTACAATGGAGATGGCGTATTTAAATTTGTGGCAGGTATTTTGGAAAACTGGTACGGAACGATGCACCGCCATGTGTAATGTGGGTTGCAGAATAATCATGAATACATTTTAATAAATTACTTAATGTAAGAACACTGCAGCAACAATGCGCGAAAGTCGTTAAAATCATATTATACAAGAATTTATACGTATATGAAACAAAATATACGTACTTATACGTGCGATCTGTGAAGGACACAATACCTAGGTATTTCCAATGAAAATTTTTGGACGAATCGTACGAAGTTCTAACTTTTGGTTTAATAACACAAAACATCTAAAATTATCAATTACGAACTATTTAGTATGCGCTTATTTTGCATAGTGATGTCTACATTAGTTTCAACTAGTTAGTACTTTTCTTATGAAATTGAAAAATATTTGCGCACATTTGCTAATTTCTAATAATTCTAAAGTAAACTACATGATTAACTTTGTAAACAGCAAGGTAAAACGTTATTCATACCAATAAAAATTCCATGACCATTAGAAAATAAAAAATGCACTTAATTACTGCGTTTGTTAACAACACCATTAATAGCATTTCTGCAAGTATTTCAACTATTTCACTTGATTTAAAATACTTTACTTTTTAAAAATAAATCTTTATCATTGTAATTTATATTATTATTACGCAAGTTGGTAACAACTCATTTAATTATAACACAAAGAAGCTTTACTAAGTCTGATGATATAAAGGTGTTCTCATAGCGGGAGCAATCTAATTAAAGCACCAGAAACTATTTTTTTAGACTGTCATCGTGTGTAGTGTAGAAATATTATCCATTCACGATTTTAGCCACGAAAATGTAATAAGCTTGTTGGTAGTCCCTGCAAAATGATCAAAACTCCTTCAATTTTCCCTTAGTTGAGTTATCTTGTTTTAAATGTAAGGTTAGGAAATGTGTCAGAAACATGAGCAAAATTAAACTTCTTTTTTACTTGATTTAAAAATGTAAACTGAAAAAGGAATGAAGCTGCCGTTGTTTTTTTGACAGAAGAAAACGTAGCGAAAAGCGCATGTGCTTTATTAATACATACTGTTGCAGTGTTGCATATATCTGACCTTTGACAGCGTTGTTGAAAAGTATTAATTCTATTATACGAAAAAGTGAGGTTCGATTACAGACATACTTCACAGTAAATGTTGAAAATATTCACTCTCTTTTTAATTCCAAAAAATGTCTGTAACATCCTTTCGTCAATGTTTTGGACCCATTGTTCAATTTCATACTGCAACAGGAACTCCTGACTACTGAGACAATCTTGTCAAAGATGTTTGCGGATTCTGCTTGAGTCGTCTCAAATCAACTTCCTCAGATATTGAAGGTCTTCCAGGAGATTTCCGTTTTTTGACACTGTCAGTTCGAACAAATGTGTTCATCATCCCTAATGTGAGCCTAACGATGTTTCTTGAATTTGCAAATCAGGGTATTTGGATAGATATTCTTGCTTACAATCGGTTACAGAATACTTTCACTCTCCGAACAAAACAAAATTTTCGTCCGCAAGCACCAAGAATCTTGAAAACGACTGTTTTGTTGTTTTGAGCTTGGATCAACGAGAATTAACTGTAATTCATACTTGAAAAACGTATAATTTGAAACGAGAGGTGGTATTATTATTTAATAACATATTATTTAATAATATCCTTATGATAATTCTAGTATTCTCCTGTTACATCGGGAAATGGTCGCATGCTGGGTGTCGTCAGTTTGGCTTTTCTTAAGTATGGTACGATTAAAAGTTGCTTCGCCGATTTTCGGACGAAAGGATCATAAACTAACATCATCTTCATAAACTCTTCTTCTTCAGCGTCGTTAAAACTAACATGCACATTTAAATCGCTCGTTTTCCACTGAGGAAATGAAACCTCGTACTGCGGTAGCTCCGACACCCCGAGCCACATCTCGTCATTCGGAGTGCCCAGAATTTTAAAAATTTTGAAGATTTGGTCGATCTCTGAGTCCCCAGGGAAAAGCGCGCGCTTTATCAACATTTCGGCCATAATGCAGCCCAAGCTCCAGATATCCACTCCGTTTGTGTACAATTTGGACCCTAAAAGCAGCTCAGGCGCTCGGTACCACATGGTCACAACTTCATGGGTGTACGACTTCGTGGGGACCGAAAAACACCGTGATAGTCCAAAGTCGGTGATTTTGATGTGGCCCTCTTTGTCTAGGAGGAGGTTCTGCGGTTTTATATCGCGGTGGAGGATCCGGTGGGTGTGCAAATAGGACAGGCCTTCGCACAATTGTTTTAAGTAACTTCTAATCAATTCTTTATGCATTGGTTTCATGGTCCCATCTAAGTACCTCTTCAAGTCCAAATCTAGATACTCGAAAACCAAATATAGCTTGTCGGAGGTGTACATCACATCTTGTAGCTCGATGATCGCCGAGTGCCGCAGCCCCTTCAGGATGGAAATTTCGCGTATCGCCGTCGCAGGGACCCCTTCAGTTTGGTCATACTTGTTAAATTTTTCTAGCTTAATCCTTTTAAGGGCCACACTTTGCCCAGTCACTTTGTTCTTGGCTTTGTAGACGATGCCGTAGGTGCCTTCTCCAGCCGTCTTCAGCTTGATGAATTTGTCCAGAGTGTTCATTCTTCGTTTGAATATACGGAGCCTCGGAAGGTATTTAGCGGGTTGGAAATGACAAAATGAAAACTGTCACAATGAAGTCTAATTTTAGCGAAGCGAAATTTTTTAAATCGATGGCCAACTACGCCCTTAGAATCATTTATAAAAACCCTGTATTTCCTAATATACATATAGTAGTCCACAAACTCTAACATTATATGGCCTGGATCCTATTGTGACAAAGTTAAATAACTGACAAAGACGGTCGGAATGAGAGTAATTAACGTTTGAACAAAAAACCTTCTATGAACTCATTTAGAAAAAAATTGCTAAAAACTTAGAAGCAGAAAGAAAATTAATTATGTACAATATATATAAGGAAAGACAAGTGCCCACTGTTGAATCTCTCATCAATCATCATATGATTAAAAGAATGCGGATATGAAATTAATTGTTCAGGAAACTTTTAGGCGACATTTGAAAACTATTGAAATTTCTAATCACGTTAAGGAAAAACGATTGAGCGATAATGTAAACTTCACGGCTATAAAAATTCGAATTTAGTGTGTTTGTCAAATCCGAATGTTTCGAGAAGAAAATAAAAACATAATTGACTTGGATGAAACCTGCTTCGACACTTGATAACCATGACTTGGTGAAAAGAGGTTTATCTGATGGCACAAAATAGTTCTTTCAAAAACGCCGCTTTCTACAAGCAGCATAAAGGTAAATGAAGCTAAACTGCCAGTATCGTGATATTTGGTTCTCTTAAAGAAATTTTGAAAATTAATAAGTTTAGATTTCTAAAAGTAGATAAAAAATTCTATAAAGATCTTCTTAGCCAGTTTTGGAAAGAATAAGTACTGTTACGAAATAAACCCATACGCCGCCCCAGTACGACGCCTATAGGTTTTCTAATGTGTGCGGCGTTCGCTAAAGAAAAGTCTGGAAGCGAAAATCGCGATGTATATTCCAGAAAGACCTCGATCACGGAACTTCTAGAAGGAAGTATGGGTTTAATAGAAGCCACTTTCGGGAACGAGTATTATTCAGTCAAGTTGCGCCGGCTTTATTTTGTACATTATCGCTGTCACGTAAACTTGGAATTACCCCTTAAGAAATAAATTATTGAGTTTTACCCACGACGATTTAAATCACCGATAATACCGGGGAACAGTGGATCTGCGGCAACCACTTTAAGGGTCGATTTAGGGTACTTACAGTCCGCTGAATACAATATTAGATTTGCCGAATTGGCTCCAGTTTTTGAGATAAATGCATCTTCATTATACGAACTCAGATATGTAATATATATACGAAATTTATTTTAAGACTGTTATTTTCAAACCAAACTGGTAATGTATGTTAGGTATACATTATTATTAATCAAAAAATAATAATAAAAAAAGAAACATGCTTTTTGTACGATTTTCTACTACCCTTATGTATTGGTGGAAACATTTTCCCCGCTGTTCGCTGTAATAGTGAAGATTGTTAGAAAATGGGTCCAAATGGCTATGCAACAAATGAATTTTTAATGCTCATGTTAATTCCTAATTTTTCAAATGTTTATCTACGATATTGGCGACGAAGTGGCGATAATCTTTTGTTTTATCATTCTCCTAGAAATTTTTGACCACTACGTTCAAATTACAATAAAGAAACAGAAAGATTCGGTAGGGGATGTTTGAAAACAACATTTTTGGATGACTTTTCGTGAAGAGCTATATCTTGTGAACTAGAGCCATTTCAAATGTTCTGACCACAACAGATTACTACAACAATAGCAGTAACTAAAAATCAATCAAAGCTAATGCCGCATAAAATTTATTTTTTTTTTGTTCCCTTGTGTAATTGTAACAATACATTGATTTTAGTAGATATAATAAAAAAAACTGGATATGCTGAGGATCGAACTTGGAGCTTCTCACATGGAAAGAGAGCAACGTATCACTGACGAACATTCTTTACGCTTACTGATTTTGTCTTTCCATCCACATTAAAAATTTGATGACGTCATTTCAAGCTTTCTTAAGTAAATCTTATTTGAAATTTACATTGTAACATGCTCCTTTATCTGTAGAATAAAATTTAACAAACTTTTAAAATTTATTTAAGGATTTCTCTGAAATTAATTACAAAAAGCTTTGTTCAATTATAACGATACAGTCTGCAGGATCTAACTCAGAAGCACAGCCTTCTCTTTGCATATAAACGATCCCTAGCACTGGCAGTTTTTGCTTAGAAAATTAATTGTCGTTCAGGGGTGAGCGAAATGTGTCTAATAACTTTAGAACAATTTTTTCATTCCTAGATGCATTAGGAATTTTTGCCAAGGCCGTTATCGTTAACACTATTGTTTATTGTATATATTCAGCTCATGACAACGCTAGCGCACAATCGTCACATAGTTGTGTATTTCCACACACATAAAGGAATACTTTTTTTAAATAGTATTAGGAAAACTATTATTCATAAGCTGTACAACTCACTTGAAGTTTTCACTCATTTACTGACAGACAGTCGTATTTGCCTTCGGCTCACTCTATTTCCACTCCATGCTCGCAATAGACTACAATGTAATTTCTGATCCTGGCGTGTGCTGAGAAAAATCGAATTGGCTCGTAGATTAGTTCATACTATTAGCGGAGCATCATTTTCCAACTCAATCTCATGACTCACGAGTGTGTGTCACAAGGTTTTTAACTTTGTCAAGAAACTCAAAGCAGACAATTCCTTCGATGATAAAGCTTAAATATGACGCACTCGAAAATATCAAATATAGAAAAATTTCAAGGAAATATTATTTGTATCAGACACAGTTTACTTGATAGCTTTGTTGATCGTTCTTACCAGTTGGTTTGATTTATTTTCGGTAGTTTTAGACGTTTTCACCATAAAAATTAGTAAAGTAAAATCAGATATCCAAACTTTATAAGCATGGATTTTTGTGGCCACACTCGTAACACTCATTTGGAATTTGATGTTCCTATAATCGTATGACCCAATCTACGGACCAATTCAAATGTTTTTAGCTCACGCCAGGATCCGAAATTATACTGATTATACGGTATTTGAGTTTTAAGCGTTACATTATCTATCAGCAATACTAAATGTAATAATATCAAGTCCTTTTGGATTCAGCACTAATATTATCGAATTAACGAATAAAAACTTACAATTCAGTTGATTACTTATTCACTGCACCAGAGATTAGTTGTGGTTGCATACTGATCGACCTGAAAAATAGAAAAATAAATAAAAATGAATGTTAAGATAAATTGGTTTGTAAAATTTAATGAGTGTAAAAATAAAATGCATGATAAAAACGGCAGAGATCAATCAATGAGCAGCAGCTGTCATCGTTTAAATTTTCCATGGCAAAAAATATGTTAGACAATTTTAGTAGTACAGATTAATATTATTTATATTGCAAACGTAAGTAGGTCTCAAAATAAACCTTTCGAGTTTACTCACTCCGTAGCTCCTCACACATTTTCATTAAAATTAAAATAGCTAGACAGACGGACGTAGGTAGGTTAAGATTCGATGGTTAATGAATTGGGCGAAGGCCGCTATTTTAGACTTCCAACTTCTCATTTGTGGACTCAAGTTGTATGTAATTCAAACGGTTCACGCTTGAAAAGCTGGAAAAATTTGACAATGCTTATCATTCATATCCGCTTGTCTTAGATTAAATCACCTTGGACTCATGATTACAGTTTGCGGCGACAGTTTTCATAAGACTATGGTAAACGTGGGCGTTTTTCGTAGGACTCTTCAAATTCAACGTTTTCTATTTTTAACTCTAATGTATGGGGGAGGAGCGGACATCCGAACTAAAAAAATCATATACGAAAATAACACCTCTCCTCGGTCCGAGATTGATAAACTTGATCTATAATGTTTACATTTCAATAATTGCAATAACAATTAGTCATCCTACGAGAGATCCGCTTCGGGCCGGAAAACATTCTTTGATTTTAATAATATTAATTATGTAAATATTTACCTATAGTCTAAATATTTTTGTGAAGTTTTCAAAATTACACCGGCACTTAGCATAAAGTTAAGTCTTTATTGATTACACCGATGTAAAGCAATAAATAAATGATGCCTGATTAAGTCAAATTTGTGGTCGCGATTTTTTCACACGATGTGATTTCTTTAAGCGGTACCAAAGGTCAGGGCTTTGTGATTGCGTTAATGGATGCGTTACACGTGAAATGATAACCATTTCATTACCGACTTTCGAGTCTAAAGCAACCGAGTACCATTAATTACCTCGTGCTGAAATTTTTATGAAAAATATCGATAGATATAATCGTTTTGAATTTAATAAGCATAAAAATCCATGAAGGAAACTGACACCACTTCTACAATGTTTCAATTATTAGGGCAAAACTATAATTGGCAGATTCTAAGGACCCTTTTTAGCATCTTTTCCATATTTTAAAGGTTTTTTGCCTTTATTCCATCTACTCTTAAAGAGTCACACGTGTAAATGTGTTTTTTAATGCTCCTGATGAATAAAATAGCATTTTTAATAATTTAACAGCCCAGTTTTAAGACAAAAAAAAATTTGGGAATTGATTTGTACCATATCGAATCAACATATAATATGGAATACATGCTCGATTCAACAAATCACATTTTTTATAGGACATTTTATTTTTTTATTAAAATTTCAATGAAGTTGAATACACGATTTCTATTGTATTTTATAAAACAGTTCGTCTTTTTTGAGATACATAGTTGACAACATCAAAAGAAATTGCAGAATATTAAATCACAACTATAATGATGTTACCAATTTTTAGTGAGGATACACCTATTCTTAATTCTGATGAGACAGATATGTGTACAATGGTACTTACACATAACGTTATTGTTTTGTCAGAAGTCCTGACATAATCGACAAAGTAAATCACCCCACATACTAGTTTTTTTTTGTTAATATACTCAGTATCCAAAATAATAAACAAGTTAAAAAATTTTGAAATATAAGCAATGTTTATCTAAGGGCATCTCAATCAAGATTTATTTAAACTTGCTCCGAGATGATGTAATCAACCTTGATGGGGTAGATAATTTTCACGTACACAATTAATCATATCGTCACTGTCTTGTCAGCATTTTACAGAGATTAGATCAACTCTTCAAAGATAATCGATAGAATAAAGTGATTTATATAGTTACTTTTTGAGACACCCCGTGAAGTTCCTGGATAAACTAAAACTGTAAAAAATAAATAATACCACAATTCCGATATATTTTTGACAAATATTAAAATTTTCAATTCAAACTTGTGACTTCCCAGCCATTTTGACAACTATTTTTACTTCTCGAGCCTCAGTTAGGGAAGTATTGTAATAGGGTCAATCTGATGAACCTTTTCTCGAGGTTTCGCAACTCCTAGAGTATTAAAAAGTAGATCTTCCATTTTCGTCTACCCGTCGTCTGTTGACGATTTTACTAGTGGATCTCTGAAACTAGTGGACTGATTGATGTGAAAGTTTACATTTATTTTAAATATCGTAGGGTAAAATGGTAACCAAAATTTGGTAACGTTATGTTACAGTTTTACTAAATACTGATATCTGAAATATGCAAAGTATTCTTATAGTAGCACATATTTTAGCGCATGGATCATCATTACTATCTTAAATTCAGGGGGCGCTTGTTCTTTTAATTATTTCACGCTTTACAACAAGAAATACGTTGTGGTGTTAAAAGTCTGAAATTATAATTTCATCCATAAAAAAAGTTTTTTTATCGACTTGACTCTACAACAATTCATAGCCACTCAGCAGATTTCTTGACCTTGCCATTTTTTAATTTTTTTAAACAAAAAATAAAAACAACATTCTTATGTTATCTTAATTAAAATTTAATAGTTTTTAAAAATCCGTCAAAGTGCTGTTCATAAAAGTACGTTGGGTGTTTTTTACGAACCAACTTTTTGCCAATAATAATTCGTGGTCGTAACTAATGAGGAACCTGTACAAGTACGACGGTAATTGTGTACGTTAAAAAATTTATAACAAAAAAAGTCATATGAAATGTACTTTGATCGCAATCAATTAATATTATCGTTTAATCTAATAGTGATTCAACCGATAGATGAGATAGCAATATTGTGTGAGATAGTGATTTATTTTGCAAAAAGAAATACAATAAAATAGGAGTGCTTGTTTCTGTTATTTTACTGTAAATAAAACTGACGTATTAGTTTAACAATAACGATATTGCACAATAATGTTTAGCATTAAATAATGAACAACACGCGTCTAACGTTTTTATATTTCTTTGTAGATTATAAATTACCAATTTACATGACTATTGAATTAACATTGACAAAAACATTATTCGTTGTAATGTTTAATTTCACATTGAGTATGATAACTTTGATATACCCGACACAGTTCAATGTTATATGTGGTCCTTCGCAATACATACCTCATGTCTGCTCCGATAAGTTTTTTAGAACATAATTTATTTAAAGTAAATAGGCCAGATACTTTATTATCTTTCATAAGCAGAATTATTAACCTACATAACCTGAAAATAACCTTTCTTTTTTAAATGACTATATTAACGTTTCTTTTGAAACAAAAAAGAAATTTCATTTGCTCCTTACGAGCAACAACATATTCCAAATACGTCTGGACACAAGCAAGCACTTCATAAAACCAAAGTAATTGGAATGTCATGTTTCTTGCTAGCAACTTTTACAGCCACGGGCTTCAAACTTTACAATCAAATAGACACATCCCGGTCGGTTACTATCAAACGTAAAAGAAATAACAAAAGAACATCAACTTCTACGGAAGTGACTGACACCTAACACAAAGTTTACGTACTTGTTTGCCTAAATTTTGTTTCTTTTTTCCTGTAAAAACGAACCATGACCATGTAATTTAATCGTCGCGAATGTAATTTCCATTTGCTTCGATGTTTGTCCCTGCATTTAAAGTTAATGTTTGCAGCGCCATAAAATTTATTATTTGGTTTTATAACTTACTTTACGATTAATTAATCATAACTTGGTGTATTCAAGTATACACATTATTTACGGATTGAAGTCGATTTCTCTCAAGATTGCACAAATCGGTATTTCTTCCTGTAGGCACAGCATTTAATTAATAAGTTGTAAAACTTGTATTTATGCAGTTCCAGCGGTAATTGCACCGTTACAATTTCGAATGGTGACCAGCGATAGCCGACACCTCGAGTAATTCTGAACTTTTACAAGGGTTTCAAAGGTGTTTAATTGCGTACTTTCTTTTAATTTTCTTTAAATTATGTGCTAAAACTACTCATGAAGACACAAAGAGAGTTATAATTCCGGCGGTCGCTTTAAAACGACACTAAAGTCAAAATTAAATTTGGAGCAGGTTAACTTTTATTAGGAATCATAAATAAACGAGGTAATCTTTTGTTTCCACAATGGCAGTTGCTTTTTTGAAAAATAGTAAATATAAAACCTGTAAATGACTATGTTATCAGTGTTTATCACTGTTTTAATTAAAACATAACAGCAATGTCTTATATACAAGGTGAGTCAACTACAAGGGTAGAGGTGTCTCTGACAATTTTTTCATTTATGAACCTCGTTTAATTGAACTTAGTTTATAAATAAAGAGGGATGAGTTCTACGTATGTATTATTAACATGAAATGTTTAATAAAAAATACAATAATAAAAAAAAAGTATTAATGTTTGCTTTAATTTGCCAGGATTTTTATTTTACTATGAAATTGAGAAAAAGATTCTGCGGAGTTCAATATTTATTATTATTGCTTCGTTGTATTTTTCTGCTAAACACTACACACCTTTTACGTAATTTATAACAAAACATAAGCGACCATGAGACTACGTTAATTTGGCGAAAAATAATGAAGCATCTAGTTACACAACTAATGAAATTATTGCATTTATTACGCTTTTCTGAATAAGCCAATTCAACATTTTACCTAATTTTACTTAAAGTCGCACCAACAAAGGACAACTTTAGTCAGAAAATATTTACTTAATAAATAATACTAATAAAAAAATGTAATAATTTATTCATACAATATAGTGAAGGTAATAGAGCTATTAATTTTTTCGACGCTTGTTTTAAAGCAGTGAATTTATGTATACGCACGTGAGATATTAGTCTACATTTGCAACTTTAATATCATTACTTTTGGCTGATATTAAAAGTTATTCGGGTGTTCCTTTTTAGCTCACTCAC